CATCCTCACAACCTGCTATGAAACCCAAGGATGTTGGGCATGAAAACGAGCAAACCGCCTGAGACATCCCCACGAACTGGCCGCGAACGGGCCCGTGATATACCCCCTGCTGAAACCAGCGCCCCGCCAGAGACATCCCCACAATCTGCTATGAAAGCCAAGGATGTCGGGCATGGAAGCGAGCAAACCGCCTGAGACATCCCCACAAACTGGCCGCGAACGGGCCCGTGATATACCCCTTCGCGGCTCCCCTTAGGGGTGTTGAAACCAGCGCCCCGCCTGAGACATCCTCAAAATCTGCTATGAAAGCCAAGGATGTTGGGCATGAAAACGAGCAAACCGCCTGAGACATCCCCAGAAACTGGCCGCGAACGGGCCCGTGATATACCCCCTGGCAGCTCCCCTTAGGAGTGCTGGAACCAGCGCCCCGCCTGAGACATCCCCACAATCTGCCGTGCGTTGAGTAACTCAGACTATGAGAAGGTCTGAGTATGTGTGGGTCTGAGTATGAGTAAGTCTGTGTATGAGTACGTCTGGGTATGAGTAAGTCTGAGTATGAGTAAACCTGTGTATGAGTAAGTCTGTGTATGTGTACGTCTGGGTATGAGTAAGTCTGAGTATGAGTAGGTCTGAGTATGAGAATGTCTGAGTGTGCATAAGTCTGTGTATGAGCAAGTCTGGTATGAGCAAGTCTGACTAGAGGAGGAGAGGAGGAGGAGGAGGAGGAGGAGGAGGAGGAGGAGGAGGAGGAGGAGGAAGAGGAGAGGAAGTAGGAGGCGTCCAAGTAATAACAAGAACCCCATCATAGGATATGGGGAAAAAGGCAATCCACGGTACCGACGAGCTGGAGGCACCGGATCGCTCCCACCATGCGATCTCCAACAGCCTGTATACAGGGAAGCTGGAAAGAGTAGAAGTTGGAAATTCCTTAAAAGTACCTTCGTTGACTGGGTAGAATCGCACCTGGAGAAGAGCAAGAGGCCTTGCCAGACCGACGCCGAGCGCGACACTGATTGGCCAGAACGCGCGTGGAGAAGCACAAGCGGCCTTGCCAGACCGACGCCGAGATTCAACAGTCCTACATCCTGGCTGCGACTGGAGGCTCGGGAAGACCTGAGGGCGAGCCAGACGACGACGGCCCTCAGGCACCTCCGGAGGCCGTCGGAAATGAAGTGTTCCCACGATTGCGCGGCTTTTTCAAAGAGGAGGATATGCAGTGGATCCTCAACTTCGAGCATAGACCTCGCCCGACGCCGTACCTGAAGAGTCTGTTGGAACTTCCCTTCATGGACGCTGAGGCAGTGGTGGATGAGAGTCATCCCAGAGTGAGGCAGTCCAGGGCGGACGCCGCCGTGTGGCGGCGTAGTCATCAGGACCTCCGGAGCGCGACAGTTGAAGATAAGTGCCACCTGAAGCGACAACAGGAAGAAGCCCTCGACGTCAACGCAGAGGAGGACCACGCGGAAGAGGAGCCGGGGCGACTCACGCGCAGAGGCAAGCAGAGACCGCCGACTGCATCTTGCAAAAGACGGCGCCTACAAGACACCGAGCGCTTTCATTCGGCATGTCATATCCCAGCTGCCTCCCGCCCAGCGTCTCACTCGGTGACAGACGCTCTTCATGGCACTGTTCGCGGAGGCCTGTGACAAGGCCTGGAGCGAGGAAAACGAGTTGCCGCCCGAGGCCCGCAAGACCACCCACCTGCTGCTCCTTGGCGCTGGCGGCACCGGAAAGACATGTGGTACAGAAGCTGGTGTTCGAGGCAGTGGGATACATCTGGCCCAACGAGACCCCCGACTCTCCGTCGATGTTGGTGGTGGCCTCGTCAAATGCGCAGGCGAAGAACATCTCTACCGCCGAGTGGAAGGCGCGGACTCTACACAACGCTGCAGGCATGCGCATTCAGGAAATGGTGAACTCGAAGATGCGCCCGGGTGACAAGGCGAAGGCTCTCGAGGAGCGGTGGAGGAACGTGAGAGTTCTCATCGTCGAAGAGAGCATGGTGTCCGCCGCCAACTACAACGTGCTCGATGTTCGCGCCATGTATGGGCGCACGAAAACCCACTCGGTCACGGAGAACAATTACATGAAACCAAATTGCAGTTTTGGTCGATGCCCCATCGTCATCCACCTGGGCGGTTTCCTGCAGTTGACGCCGACCGCGCAGCTCAGCCTGGTGACGGACGTCACGGCAAAGGACGTCAACGGCAACTACGTGCTCAAGGAGCCGCCCAGCCTTGAGATTCAGAATGCCCTAAGGGTCTTCAAAAGGATCACCAGCGTCATCGAACTCCGCGGGACCAAGCGCTTCAAGCCCGGCGATCCTCTCATCAAGTTCCTTGAGTGCATGCGAGAGGGCAAGCGGATCCCTGACCTCGTGTGGCAGGCGTTCGAGGCGACCTTCGCCAAAGATAGCCACCCCGATGCGGAGCCCGAGCTGGATCCGCGGCATGCAGAACCGAAATTCCTCGAGGGGTACGGCCTGGCCATGTACTGGGAACCTCTTGCGCGCTGGATGAACAAGAGAGCACGGCGCGACGCCCG